CACATGCGGGCGAGAGAAGAGCCGGGCACACTTCCCGTACCAGACCCAGACATGCATCCACTGCAGCACATGGACATACTTCAGAGACGGACCCACGCACCCATCCGGTGCTGCACACAGAGAGATTTCAGCGACCGACCTAGCAACACATCCGGTGTTGCAGAGACAAACTCGCGGGCTCCCCCTCTCCGCACGCCGCCGCCTCCGGCGCCCCCACCGCGCCCTCACTCGCGCGCGCGCACGCACTCACTCACAGACACACACTCTCACACACACACCCGCCGCCCCGGCGCGCGGCGCTGCCTGCGAGCGAGCGGCGGCGTGCAGGACTTGAAGTGGGTGTTCTCCCCCACTCCCCACCCCCCGCCCCGGTCGCCTTCCCCCTCCCTCCCGCTCCTACGCAAATAAGAACTCGGCGATTCCCCTCCTGCCGCTTTGATTTCGGGCACCTCCAACAGATAATTGGGAAGGGTTTCCAGAAGGTGGGAAATGTCACCTGATTCACACTGAACTTTTAAAAGCTCCCCACCCCCAAGGAGCCGCGCACACCCTCGCTCGCGGCCGCCCTCCCACAGCCCCACACACTGGGAGACCGCCCACCGCAAACCTCGGAGACCCCCGTCTAGATTTAAAGCGCGGCTGCGCCCGGCTTCTGACGTCCATTGAATCGCGCGGGCGGCCGGCGGCGAGCGCGGGGCTGCACCGGGATCGCTGCGCCCTCCGCCGCTCGCCTCTGCGACGCGCGCCGCTCGCCGCGCTCGCCTCCAGCCTCTGCGCCCGCTGCCCGCGCCCTGCGCTCCTAGCCCGGCGCCTGCCCCCAGGATGGTCTGTCCCAGGCACCAGCCCGGCGGGCTTTGCCTCCTGCTGCTGCTGCTCTGCCAGTTCATGGAGGACCGCAGCGCCCAGGGTAAGCGAGGGGGGATGAGCCGGGGCGGCTCGGCTGCGGGCACGGGTTTGGACTTTTCTGTCTCCACTTGGTCTCCGGTGAGCAACGCTCCTTTCGGGAGATGTTGGACCAACTTAAGGACTAGAGGATGGAGAGGAGTGGGAAAACGGAAAGCAGTGACACTTTAGACGTGGAAGGGGAGTTGGGAGCTGGGTATCCTTAAAAAGGAAAGGAAGTGAGTTGGAGCTCTCTCAGTCCTTAGGGTTAGATACTCCAACTTCTGGCACAGAGTTGAAATGTTATCTATCTCCCCGGGTTGGCTCTGAAGAAGGGGACAAGCATCAGTAGCCTGGAGATTTCAATCGACCCACTAGCAATCTTAACATGTCTCCCTTCCATATCTCTGGGATACTTATAAAATATTACTCAAGTGACTGGAGCGGGGACAGATCCTGAATTTTCTCCGGTGGCTGAGGGACGTGGTTTCAGAAACTTTGCCCAAACTTGGAAATGTGGGTGCTGAAATTTTTAGAGGGAAGGAGCTTTCTGCCCGGTGGATGCTGTTTTCAGCCCCCTCCCCCCACACTCACTCCAAAAGGGGAGGAAAAATAAGTCAAACTATTAACTCGGAGTGTTTTTAAGAGTAGTTTTACAGTGGTTTTCCCCTGACTTCATTCCTCTGACTTAACTTTATGCAGAACAGTGAGCCCTCAACAGACTACACTTCGGACATGGATTAAGAGCACGTTTCTGAAGGGTGCCTTTCAAAATTCGATTTCTTTCCGTTCATCTCCGGGCGGAATTGTGTTTCCCAAAAAAAAATTAGAAATCATCCTAGCAAAGCTTACGGCCCGGTTATTGGAAAAGGCATATTAGGTGATTCACGAGAGGTTTTGCTGGCCAAAATCCTACCACTGGGGGGAGGGGGGGAGAGAAGGGAGAGGAATTGCTCGCCAAGACTTCTTTGTAGGTATGAGATAAGTAAGTGTCCAGAAAATTTTGGACAGCGTCCCTTCTCTTCCTGTCCCCCCTACGGTTCCCCGGAGACAGGACGGTGTAACTTTACCTGCATTCGCGTGAAGGTTTAAGTGTATCACATAGAACCCTGGGCATTGGCTCGCCATCTCCCGTTGGGCTGCCCTTGCCCGCCTTGCGAGGCCAGGCGCTCCCTCAGTTCAGGGGACGTGGGCACCCGGGGACAGAGCGCAGGGAGATTTCGAAAGATCGTGGTGGCCACGGGAGCCCTCTGGGGCTGGCCGATTGCAAAACGGGGCCCGTCGGGCGGGCTGCGCCTGCCTGGAGGCAGCATGGGGCAGTTCCTTGTTGGGCCCGGTTGCTTTTTTTTTTTTTCTTTCATTTTTCACAAGTGCCTTTTGCTTGATCTGTTTCTGCATGTGTGTGTGTGTGTGTGTGTGTGTGTGTGTGTGTGTGTGTGTCACTCTCCTAAGTTCTCCTACTTTCTTAACCCCTGTCACAAATAATACTTGCACCGCCTACATGAAACCAACATGTAAAAACATCCGTCGCATCCTGTTTTTGTCAGGTTCTTTAATCTGCTCTTCGAGTCGCTGCAGGTTATGAAATGGGACGAATAAAAAAGTAAACAGTCTAGTAAAAGTCAATGCAAGCTGCACGTGTTGTGTCTGGGTCACGGGTAACTGACATTGATATGGCTGGGGCGCGCTGGCTTCTCGCCCTCCACTTCCCTCCCCCTTGCCCACCTCCCGCCTCTCCCAGCTGAGCTGCCCCCACCCCCACCCCACCCTTTTCGATTTCTTTTCTGCTTTTGTTGCCCGAATCCCTCTCATCCCCTCCTCCACACTCACCCCACACACACACACACCCCATCCAGCTCTGTCTCCTTCCCTCCAGCGTGAGCCGCCTCGCCTTCCTCCTCCTCTCTCTACCCTGCCGAACTCACCCACCTCCCCACCCCTGTCTCTTTGCAGCTGGGAATTGCTGGCTCCGCCAGGCAAAGAACGGCCGCTGCCAAGTACTGTACAAGACGGAACTGAGCAAGGAGGAGTGCTGCAGCACCGGCCGCTTGAGCACCTCGTGGACCGAGGAGGATGTCAATGACAACACTCTCTTCAAGTGGATGATCTTCAATGGGGGCGCCCCCAACTGCATCCCCTGCAAAGGTAGGGCTTCTCCTCCCCAACTTGAGGCCTTCAGTAGGGGGCGTCTTGCCCCTAGAGAATTCACTGCCAGACTGGGGGTGGGGGGAGGAGCAGAAAGGTTGGTGGGTCCCCTCAGCCCACTTGGATCAAATCCAGCCTGTTAGAGGCTATAGGCAGAATGAGGTTAACAGAGGTCCTGAGACTTCTGAGCCAAGGGTGGTGGGTGAAGCCAGCCAGCATCAGGCCCTTTGAGAGATGTAGTTATCTGGGTTCCGTCATTGTTTCCGCTTCATCAAGCCCTCCCAGGCTCCTCAGAGAGGTGCTCCCTCAAGTCTGCACCCTTGTGCAAGGCACTGTCACCCTCCGGGCAGACCTACAAACTGCTCATCCTCCTGTTAATCTCTGGTCCTGCTGCTAATGCTAATCTCATTTCCATTTGGTAGAAACATGCGAAAATGTGGACTGTGGGCCCGGGAAAAAATGCCGAATGAACAAAAAGAACAAGCCTCGCTGTGTCTGTGCCCCTGACTGTTCCAATATCACCTGGAAGGGCCCAGTCTGTGGGCTAGATGGGAAAACCTACCGCAATGAATGTGCACTCCTCAAAGCCAGATGTAAGGAGCAGCCAGAGCTGGAAGTCCAGTATCAGGGCAAATGTAAAAGTAAGTGTACATCCTGAAGTCCCTGGGGGCAGCAGGGAGAGTGGGGTGGAGGGTCCCTAGGAGAGCCTCCCATCATCACAGCAGTGGTACCGAGGATCTCTTTTCTAACTTCTAAAATCTCACTAAGAACCACGAAAGAACAAACCCAAAGATGTAGGGATTTTTTTAAGTCACTTTTCAAAGCAGAATGCTTCCATGTCATGATTTCCCTGATAATACTCAATGCTGACTCCCTCAGAGCCCGAGGATGCCTATTAATGTGTATTTCTGTCCTTGTTTCAGAGACCTGTAGGGATGTGTCCTGTCCAGGCAGCTCTACGTGTGTGGTGGACCAGACCAATAATGCCTACTGTGTGACATGTAACCGGATTTGCCCGGAGCCCACTTCTTCTGAACAGTATCTCTGTGGGAATGATGGTGTGACCTACTCCAGCGCCTGCCACCTGAGAAAGGCTACCTGCCTGTTGGGCAGGTCCATTGGATTAGCCTACGAGGGAAAGTGTATCAGTAGGTATTCTCCATTGAGGAAGGAAAAGACAAAAGAGGGGAGCCAGAGGGCTGCTTCCTGTGGTACAACCCTGGGGCTAGACGATCAATAAAAGTCAAATGTGTCTCCCTACATACTGAACTCTCACATTGCAATGAAATGTCTTGACCCCACTATTTCTTATGGAAATCATCGTCTTCCCAAAGTTCTGGCATATCTAGTCAAATGCCAGGGAGAAGCAGAATCATTTTCCACGTTAAAACAAAATTAACTCAGTTTTATGAGTTCATGGGTTGTTTCTTCTCCCCTCCCCCCAAGGGCTGGACTTACTAGAAGAGAGAAATTAATTCTCTCACAGTTCCTAGAATCTTATCAGATTCCAATAATTGATTCTTTCTCTTGAAAACTCCGCCTGTGGGAAATAATCAGATACATATTGAACTCAAAGATATGATGAAACTCTGGTCTTTTAAAAAAACCCCTATATCCTTGCTTTAGGATGTAGGAAACTCTGGGAGTTGGGGGCGGGGAGAGCCATGGCGGTGGGGGGGGGTGCTGTGTGTGTGTGTGTGTGTGTGAGAGAGAGAGAGAGAGAGACAATTTGTACTATAGCTTCATTATCGAGGATTTTCCCAATATTTCCTTTACCTTCACTGACAAGGAATAAGATAGCATGTTTATTGACAGAGGACTAAAGAAAGGAGGGAAACCGGTTTACTCATCACAGATGTATTAAATCCTAGAAGCAAAGTCCTGTGAAGATATCCAGTGCACTGGTGGAAAAAAATGTTTATGGGATTTCAAGGTTGGCAGAGGCCGGTGTTCCCTCTGTGATGAGCTGTGTCCTGAGAGTAAGTCTGACGAGCCTGTCTGTGCCAGTGACAATGCCACTTACGCCAGTGAGTGTGCCATGAAGGAAGCTGCCTGCTCCTCAGGTGTGCTGCTCGAAGTGAAGCACTCCGGCTCTTGCAACTGTAAGTGCGATTTTTAACCTTGCTGCAATGTAAGGCTTTCACAGGCAAGCCCTAGCTCACTGCAAGCCACATAAGAATGGACAATTTAAAAGCACGCAAACCTCCCATGTCCTCCCGTTTCTGTGTATGTTAGGAAGCTGCTAAATTTCACCAGCAATTCAGTGATGCACAGAACCATCCCTACCCCTCTCCCTGATGTTTTCTGGCTTCTAGGCCTTAGTTCAGTGGTCAGCAGCGGGATCGCCACTAAAAACTTATTTTCCATTGTTTGTCCTAATTCTTTTGCTTTAGTATTGTGCTTTGCTATATGCCTGGTTAACCCCTGAATCTAAACTAACTGCTTCAAAAGTTTTGTTTTGTTCCCCTTTCTGTTCTTTTCCAAAAGCAGCTTTCTGTGATCACACATGGGCTGCTGCTTTGCGCAGTTGCCTCTACTACTAACTCTGAATTAAGGACCCAAAACAGTTATACCTAGAACACAAGAGTGCTTTTTATCTGATTTCAGGAATCTGCCCGTAAAACCTGAGCCATTGATTCTTCAGAACTTTCTGCAATTTTTGACTTCATAGAATATGGTGTTGTGGTTTTTTTCTAAAAAAAAAAAAATTTAAACATTATTGTATAACAGCAGATGCCAAAAAAAAAAAAAGCATCTCACAGCAAGTCACATAAAAATGCAACGCTGTTATATGGCTGTATCAGAGGGCTTTGAAAACATACACTGAGCTGCTTCTGAGCTGTTGTTGTCCATATTTAAACAACAGCTCCCCTGTATTCCCCATCTAGCCATTTCAGAAGACACCGAGGAAGAGGAGGAAGATGAAGACCAGGACTACAACTTTCCTATATCTTCCATTCTAGAGTGGTAAACCTTCCACCAGTGTTCAGTGTTGATATAACATTTGGGAAGAAAAAATTAAAAACATTTTTAAAAAAACCGCGCACATGCACACACACACACATACACGAAAAAAAAAACTATTAAGAAAAAAAAAGATGTATTGTCCATATTGTAAATAAGTGTATGCTTATTTATTTGGGGGGGAAACTATACCTAAAGGATCTTTATCCTAAAGCTCTCTCCCAGGCCACTTTTATTACTCATTGGACACGGAGAGACAGTCATTGTGAGGTCTACTGGATGAGGCCTGTAGTTGAGACTTGTAGACATTTATTTATACTGTGTCATGTTTTATAATTTATACATAAAATGTCTGGTTGACTGTACACCTTGTTTTTGAAGAAATTTATTCGTGAAAGGAAGAGCAGTTATTTATTGTGAGGTCTCTTGCTTGTAAAGTAAAAGCTTTCTTTTTTCCTTGTAAACTATTTAAATCCATTCCTTACTATTCACGCACTCATCTGTCTCCCCTTATTTCACTGTCTTTTCCACTTTAACAAACTTGCATGTCAGTTTCTGTCATGTTTATTTATTGGATTCTCTGCTGCCTGTTCTGTACATACTAGATTACAGCATCCCTCGGGTTTTGTTTACAAGGAATCTTGACTGACCAAAAGGCATTATAACTGACTCAAACACAGAATACAGTGGATGCATCTTTCAGGAAACTCCTAGTTCAATGCTCTTGTTGTGACGAAGACTTTGGGCAAGAGAAAGGCTGATAGTGATGTCAGAATTCTAATATGTACTTATCGGATGATCCAGAAACATGGGAGTACATATGTGTCTTGAAACTGAAGAAAGCAAATGCTACACATCCAGCCTTTTGCTAGGAATTTCCTCTAAGCTAGTCTGCTGTACCATTTAAATTTGTTCTTTTCCAATCAGTGTGTCACTAAAAGTTTTATCGAAGCTTTATCAGTTCAAGTTTCTTGCTTTTCATAATACTTTTTTCTGATGCAATTTTATATTTTCAAACATGGCAAGTTAAATATAAATTCATTTAAATATATAGTTTTGTACTTTTCTACCATGTAAATGTGCAATGTATATAAAAGTTATAATGTGTATTTGTAAATAAATTATGAGTGAAAAAATAAAAAAAATTCTAAAAAGCCAATGGTCTCAATTCCTGATGATGTAAAAAAAATAAAAAATTCAGGCTACAGATAAAAAATAGATATGATCTGTTTTCTGATAAATAGGGTTATCATTGAAATTAAGTGATTGGAGGAGAGGGTTTGTTATGTGCAGCTCATTGCTGCCAGTAGGTTTTCAGAGGTTATAAATAGCCCAAGAAGATATTACCTGTCTTTTTTTCTCTTGAGTAACTGGTGGATTCTAACCACCTCACTTTGGGCTGGTAACCGAACTCCCTAGGCCTAGATCACCAGAGCTAACGTGTGTACCATCCAGTCAGATCCAACTATAGCTGACCCTCCTGCGGGTCTTCAGAAACAGTTAATCGGGCGTTGGAGGAAACTTCCCGTCCTTCTCTCTCACCAGAGGTGATAGAAGTTCTAAATTCAGCTTAATTATAAATCACCTCAAAAAGGAAAAAAAATCTAAGACCCAGGAGTCTGTCAGAAAGAAAAGAAGATCCTCAACAAGATGGATTGACACACTGCCTGCAATAATGGCTTCATCAGGCATGTCAGAGATTGTGAGCATGGGACAGGGTAAGGCAAGGCTCAGATCTGTTCACAGGGTCACTAGGAGTCATATCAACCTGGCAGCACCCAACAACAAGAAGGTCCAGCAATACTATTTAGCATACTTGTCATTAGCCACAGAAACAGACTGTGATTCCATCCTGCAAATACAGCAAAAATAAAGTCCCTTCTCTGAAAATACCATCTAGGTTAGAAGCCCATCCCCATAGCAAAGGCCACCCTTTATCTTAGCATACTTGAGTTAAGTAAATCTTAAAAGCCTTTAAAAAAATATCACAATAAAAGTGATAAGCTATGTTCCAGAATATTTTGCTCTAGAAATAGGCTTCACAGTATTGAAGTGCTAAAGCATCATGAGATGGGAGTAGATACTAAATGTGGCTGTTATTTACTGTCAACTCATAGCTGACCAGTGGGTTTTCAGTGGCTATAAATTGCTTAGGAGGAGATTGTTCATATTTCTCCAGTAGAGAAACTGGCGAATTGAAACAGCCTGCCTCTGAGCTTGCAGCACAAATCCTTACCAATAGGCCACCAGGTTGTCCAGGGACATTTGGAGAGAAGTAGGAGAGAAAATTGTAAATATTTTACCGTTGTTATGTAGCCAGATCACAGGATTGAAACCTCAGATTGCAACCTGAGATACCAGTTGACCCTTCCTGTGTAATACATAACTAGATAATCAATAAAAAGTTCCATGATGCAGCACTCAGGAGGAATGATTTGAAAAAGTATGATATAACATGAAAGAGGCTGGAAAGCATTCTGTTAAGTGAACGAAGTCTCATAAGGGCAAATACTTCACAAAACCATTACTGTAAAAATGAAAGGATTATTACTACGAACATGTGGACAAAAGACCAAAGGAAGGAAAGAGGGCCATGAGAGGAGAGGAGAATCACATGGTTGGCAGAGGGAGGGGGTGAATTAATTAGGAAAGATCCACTGGGCACCTGAAAAGGCAGGGTAATGATGGGCATGGATCAATGAAGATTAATTTTATAAAACACGATGTGAATAGAGGAATGTGTGAAACAATGTATACAAATTTAGTATGCAAACCAACATGAAATTAAAATCCTTTTTAAAAAAACTAACAAATGTAAATAAAAATATAATACATAATTCTTGGACATAACAAATATCTTTCATAAATGAGAAATGTCCATTTAAGTATGTGCCACCTTAAGTATAGTAAAAAAATTTTAAAAGTGAGAATTAAGATTGTGAGAGTGAAAAACCAAAGAACAATCAATCTTTTGCCACCACTGCTAAATAAATATTAAGCTCTGGTGGCTTAGTGATAAGAAATTGTGCTGCGAACCCAAAGGCACACAATTTGAATCTATTTGCTGCATAAGAAAGAGATGGGCAATCTCCTCTGCAATTTACTGTCTCTGACAGCCTGCTGCGGGTCAGGTAGGAGTAGGTCCTCACTCAAGGGTGTATAACAACAACAAGCAACAAGAACAACTGTGTTAAAAAAAAACCACAACACACATAATGACCTGATTTTTTTTAGTTTACTCCTTTAGTGAAAACTCTCTTTTGTACTGGTTTACTTACAAAGTTCATATGTATTGTTTTCCACACTGGATCTTTCCCATTTCCTATTCTCCCGCCCCTGGGATCCTCATACACATTTTAGTATTAAAAATATTTATCAGAATATATTGACTTTCAGTTGAGCGTCACCAAATCAAATTGGTAGAGGGAAAGGAATCTTTTTAATGATTAAAAATGAAATTTAAAAAAAAAAACACAAACAAAAAACCCAAACAACCTAACCCTTCATAGCCATTCAGTTGGAACTAACTCACAGCTGACCTTTCAATGAGCTTCTGAGGTTGGAAATCAGGAAGACTGCTCATCTTTCTCCTATGGAGCTATTTGAACTGCCAGAAAGGTGCCACTTTGGGGTTAGCAGCCTACAGACTACCAGAGCTCACCTTCTTCAATGACTGATGTTGATATTGTACCATCAAGATGACTATGATCCTTGTAATGACCCTATGAACAACAGATCTACACTTTGCCCTATTCTATGCTCTCCTCACAATTGCTGGTACACCCAAGCTCATTTTTAGGGCTGCCCTCCAGCCTCAGGTTCTCAGAGAGAGAGAGGAAAGGGAAGTGCTGAAAACAAGCTGGCTGCCATTAACCACAAGAAGATGAAGGTCTTGACTTCACCAGTGCAGAGGAGCTACTGGAATTGCCACTAGGGATAAGCTTAGAAAAGGAAAGCTGGGCAGATAGGGTTTCACAGGCCTTCCTGGAAGTGATTTGTTACTTTGTCCCAAGATGCTAGAGATGCTTTAAAGCTGCCATTGATGATCAGAATAAAAACATCAACTTTAACTGGCCACAATGTGTATCTTAGCAAAGAGGAGTGACAACATCGACAGCTTTCCTTTGCGCCCAGATTATTTCTATTTCCGCTTTGTCAACATCAATCGTTCCTTTTAAAAACTCAGAAAGTATTTTATTTTCCATTTTGGAGTTTCCTGACTTTCCAGTAATACTACACTAGAATAATTAGTACCAAAAAAAAGTAGTCTCTTTTAAAGTTAAAATTAGGTTAATGTCATTAGACTATTGTTAGAATTTCAACTATGACCCAAAAAAGTCTAATTCATTTATGTGTATAATGTAATTAATGGAAACAGTTGCTAGCAAGTAGTGTTAATTAGTATGAGTAGATCCTAATCATTAGGAATGGCAATAATTAAAGCAAAGCGTGAAAAATCTATCAGAAGTCTAGTTTTCATCAGATTTGCATTAAAATCAAGATTTTTATATGCTACATGAGATATTTATTGCTCCTTGAGTGTGATAAAAGTAATATGCCTAATATCATTAAATAACTTTCAAACATGACAGAAAATTAATTACCTGAACATAGGTTGGATCCTGTACCCAAGGGGAAAATGCTACAAATAACATTATTGGACCAAATAATAAAATTAGGCTAATGTCTATGGATTAAATGTCTATCAGTGTTATATTTGCATTTATTTTTCTGTTTATGGAGTATATAAGAGACTATTTCTCAACATAGGAAATACACACAAATATTAAAAGAAAGTAAAAATGTTTCTAAGTTAACCTTCAAATTGTTTCACAAGAAATATAATTTCCTATATATTTTTTCATATAGATTCACAGTTAGGGGTTCTGGCAGTCTACAGTGAGTCGTGCTATTAACTGAAGGCAAACACTTCTTTGGAGCTTTGAATCTATCAACTGCTCATCAGAGGATAAAGATGGGTAATCTCTCTTCCCATGTGATTTACAGTCTCCAAAAGCCCACCAGAGGGTCAGCTCCAAATCC